TGCGAGACAGTATTTACTGTCTCGCCGTGCGAGACAGAATTTACTGTCTCGCACACGAGACAGTTATCAGTGGTTCAAGAAACTATTTTACAACCGTCGACACGTGGCCACAAACTGTTCAAGAACGTGGGAAACGTCGTGGGCGAGAATCAAGTGAATAACTGCCAGAATAACGGAGTTTGAAACATGGGAAGGCAGTTAAAACGAAAACTGCCTGCGGTTACTGTTTCCGAGACAGTATTTACTGTCTCGCGGGTCGAGACAGCAAACACTGTCTCCGAGACAGCAAACACTGTCTCGCCCGTCGAGACAGCAAAAGCTGTCTCGCGAACCTGTTTTCTGCCAACTGTTCTTGGAGGTTATAAATACCCTCCTAAGGCCATTTTTCCAGGGGGCTGATCATTGTGAGTACTTCAGAGCAATCCAGAGCAATCCAGAGCAGAGAGAGAGCAGAGGTGCTGATCTTACGGCCAATCCTTGATAATCAGGCTTTGACTTGATTTCAAGAAGAACGACTATCTTACATCGATAAGATATCGTTTCAATTTCTCACTTCGATAAACGAAGTCAGAATCATAAACCCCTCACGGTTCAATCAGAATCTGTGATTTGGTGGTCCACGAGTCAAAGCGCTCCCGGCACAGGCAAAGATCCCACGAAAGCAGTGATCCAAACAACGATCCTGCGTTTATTTTCTCAAGAGTTGTAATTTTCTTTTTGTTGTGTAAAAGAGTCTTATAAAAAGGCTGTTTTCTTTGAATTTATTGTAATCGACCGAAGATATAATGAATTCGACAACAAAACCGACTTTTGGCGAAAACAGTAGTTAATTACAATCTCATATGCAGCTGGAGACATCTCATATATATCCTTCATGTAGTCGTTCCCTTCCGCAACAATGTATTTATAGCAAGCTGATTGGAGCAAATTCCCCAAAACATGTGTGTCCTTTGCCTTCAATCCCAAAGCCTTTAGCTTAGATCTAAAATTTTCAACCAGGTGCAGAACACATCTTGAGTGAATTGCTTCAGGAAAATATTCTCTCACCGCTTCTTGGATTCCCTTGTCGGCATCAGAAATAATAACCAGTTGATGGGGAGGATTGTATGGGTCTGGCCTTTCGTACAGTATAGACCACAAGCCTTGCAGGAACCATCTCCAATTATCAACGTTTTCCTGATCACATATGCAATACGCAAGTGGAAATATCCCTTGGTCTCTATCATATGCTACAGCGCTCAGGAGCAGGCCTTTGTATCTATCTTTCAAGAAGGTCTCATCCAAAAATAATAGAGGTCTACACTCATTTAAGAAACCAACGATGCAAGCAGCATAACATATAACAGTCTTTTGAACCTTCCTTCATTCTGGTCAATGCAAATGTAGCTTCCTGGATTTGTTTCCTTCACCTTTTGCTCATACCTGTACAACAGTGTGACCACATTACACATAAATGTAATACATTGGAACATAAGGGTAATGTATATTAACATGTAAGAGCTGACAATTTTCCATGAAACATAACAGTCCACTGTGACAGCTGAAATATAAATTTATGAAAATACTATAAATATGGAAACATCTAAGGAAATATATTGCACGATAAATTTATACATTTAAACAGATAACTATAAAATTTACCATCTTAATTGATCGTAAGACTCATAACTATCACCGTACATAGCCTCCTGTGCTCTTTCTTTGCCCCACCATATCTTACTGTATTCAAGTTTCAATCTATATCGAGTGAGGAACTCCTTTTGCACATCCTTTGGACGGATTTCAGGTCGAACCTTTAAGACAAGTCGCAATTGTTCTGCTACGAATCTACAAGATGCCCGTGATTGTCCTGACAAGTTAGTATGTTGTCTGCAACTATGTTCATTCACAAACCTTTTGATTTTAATTCTTTTTTCATTTTTTACAGGGGATGCAAACAGCATCCAAGGGCATCCATACGTCTCCTTATATCGACAAATAACTCGGATACGTTTAGGTTCATTCTTTACAAAGTCGTAGTCAAACTTTTTCGCCATGGAATAGTATTGCAACGCTAGTCTCAAATCATTAACAGTTTCAAATTGTTGGCCCTTTTCAGTTAATGTTGTGTGCCAACAGTCTGGAATGCTGTAAGTTTTACTGATAATATCATCAGCTCTCATTACAATCTCACCAGACAGGCAATCATTTGGGATTCTCTCTGAATTGGAAGCATTTCCGCCAGAAGGGGGATGACAATATTCTTCATTCAAAGAGGCATCACTGCTGCAAAAATTAATCAGCCAGTGATATAAACTTTACACTAGAGTATAAAACTATCTTATAATGTTTAAAACTAACCATTTTCGTATAAATTAATTAAAGAGCAGTGGAATTTAACAGACAATTTACATAGTTAACTCGTTACGCTGAAAGTTAACATGCTCACATGAAAGTTAACATGTTCAATTGAAGATTAACATGTGAAAATATTGTCATCAAACATGCACTTCATGATAGGAAGAATATAGCAATAACGTCACACGACACCGTGCACGTCGAGCAATTGGAAACCGTTGGGGGTTGTTGACAGTTATGACGATAATTAATTTGTTAACTTGAAGGGATTCAAAGCTCATAACGGGATTCCAAAAGATGAAGTTAAAAAACACTTAAAATGTTATGCGGCTTTGCCTTAAAGCCTGAAATCAGTATGTTCACGTCACACAAAGCTAAATGTTATAAAGAGTCATTAATTACTTACATTCCACCAATAACTTTCTTGTTTATTTCAGAACTGGAACACTCTTTATTAACAGCACTATTAACAACAGCGAGCATGTGAATCTCTGTACAACCGACATTTCGATTGTACTCCAACATGCACTTCAAGTCATCTTCGTTGTCAACCAAAAAAGTTAAGTTGGGGTGCCTCTCAGATTTATATACCAAGGATAAAGCTTCTTCAGGTACTTTCATTCTTTCAGCCACATCAAATTTCAGTTCATAAAACCGTGTTGTCGAGCAGAGCTTCATAAATATGGCCTTCTCGCCTAAAGACACCATACAAATCAAGTCATCGGCGGCCATTGGGAGTGGTTGAGAGTTATGAAGACAATTATGAGGAGTAATGGAGGGGATTTAAAGCTCAGAACGGTTGTTGACAGATGAAGGGAAAAAACCCTGATTTCATAAATGGGAGAATGAGAGAAAAAATTACCCGAATTTATATCCCATTAATATGGAGCTGAAGCGGACCAGTAATGGAGGGAACCCGCCTTTTTCCCCCCCGCTTTCCGCCGTCTCTTCGCCTTAACTGCGATGGGAGAGATCGTCGATCATTGATGGCTGCCTGTAGCCGGTTCCCAGTGAGAGACGAGGGCATTTCGGGTCTTTTTGCCTAAATACGCGGAGCATACATATAAAAGAGGGCTAAAGGGGCTGGACCACACGAATAACGCATTTTTAGGGCGGCAGCCCAAGGGGAATAATTGGTGGGGCTGGGCCACTTCAAGGACACGATTTTGGGGCCTGAACACAATTTTCCCAAATTATAATTGTACAAAATTATTCCACTTTTTTTATTTTTCTATACAAAAATGGAAGTTCTAGTCTCTCAAATTATCCTAAGTTTTAGCTTGGAACTAGATGGTAAAAAAAATAGAACTCCTATGTATTTTATTAATTTTTTATATTTCTTTTTTTCTTTACATCTTTCCTACTATGATCATCACCATAATTAGATCATGCCATTAGATTAGATATTGTCTCCTCTTAGTCATCTCTGATATTTTTTTTATCTAATATTATAATTATATAACTAATTTAACAGTAAAGATCGCATCAATCTAGAATTTATTAAACAATAAAATTAAGAAATGAGGGAAAAACATTTGGTATCTCAATATTCATTATACAAGTGAAACCTTTTCTAAATAAGAACTTTTGCACAATTGTCAATTGGAAAGAATAAAAATACGCTTCAAACTTTTGAGATAGAGATTTCTTTCAAACCTTTTTATTTTTTATTTTTGGCGAGCCTCCAACTTTTTAGAGTATATAAATGCTGTGAAAAACAAAGTAGCGTATAGGTGCGAACTGAGTGAAAGTGTAAGGCGATAAAGTATTATTTAGCCCTTCAACTATTTTGTCTTCCTAACAACCAGTGGGCGTTTTCATGGACCAGTCATCCGTGACGTGGATAATTAATGGGCCATGAAATCAATCAAAGCCCAATTAAACAGAAGTAGAAATTATATGCGAAAAAGTCCATTAAAGATCACTCTTCTCCATTCTCAAACACATCGTCCTCTTCTTCCCCCAAATTGAGGAGAGAGAAACCCTAGGCGATGGCAATGGCCAGCTTGGCGAGGCGCAAAGCCTGCAATCTCCTGTGCCCTAACTCAAAGGTCTGGTCCCAATTTCAAGTTTAGACTCTCGAATTGCTGCTCTTTTTTTGGCTTTTTAGTGATTTGGATTCGTTTAAATCTTGTCAATAGTAGCTTCGAGTTGTTGATTTTGGGATCTGATAAGTATGAATCGGTGGGATCGGAGAGATAGGGGATTCTGTAATTAGGGTTTTTTTTATAGATTTATTATTATTATTATTATTATTATTATAGATTTTTGTTTGGAGATGGTTGCTTTTGAGCTTGAAGAGGGGGAAGTTTTGATCTTTGAGAAGAAATTTGTTTACTTAGTTGGATACTTTGTGCTTTTCTAGTTCGCTGACTGAGAGTTTTAAGATTTTGGAGTGTGAGTTCAGTAGTAGATCATATGTTTCGTGCTAATATACTCTAAAAATATTACTTAGTAGATCATATGTTTCGTGCTAATATTACTTTGTGCTTTTGAGCTGGATACTTTGTGCTTTTCTAGTTACCCTCTTTAGTTCATGAATAAGAATGCTTTTTTTGAGTGTTTCTCTTCAAATCATTTCTTGAATGGGGATTCCTTCTTCTTCTTTTCCTACTTAAAGGTCTTTCTTCCTTTCCTGCTCATCGCTTCCACCTTCATATAAATTTTCATTGCGTGTGTTTTCCTTCCTGACAATTTGCTTTGTTGTCAATGCTTCTGCTTTTAGTAATCAATTAATATTGCGCACCTAAAATCCATCCATCTATTGTTACCTTTAGAGGTAAATATTACTTACTTAGTAAAGGTGTTTTGAGACTTGTTTTTTGGCTTATTGACAGACAACTCTCAAATCATCATCTTATAAGCCTTTCCTTGTTAGATGAGGTCCCCTGTTGCGCGAACTTTGTTTGTATTTGGGGAATATAGGAGTTAGATGGAATCTAGTTCGTTGGCGTTCTACTTCATTTTCAAGAACTAAAGGAGCTTGATTACATCCCCTAGGTGTTGTTTATGTGCAACTTGGTGCATCAACCATAGAAGAGGCTGTACTTATTTTATTCTACCCATGTAGTACGCCTACTCATTATATCTTTGACCTGAGCCACAAGTGACCTACAGTTGAAGATCAAATTCCTGAGGCTTATGACATTTCCTTGGAGAGATTTTTAACCTGAACAAGTAACAACAAGGACCCTTCATCCCAAATTTTCAGGCTGGCTACATAAATTCTCGTTCTCCGTTTATCTCTTTTGAGGGTCCTCTCCTTCAAATTAAAATATAACTTTAACTATGAACAAGCTTGTAACCAACATTTTCCACATGCTAACACCATATTGATCAGTCCTCTCTTTGTAACCTCACTTAAAGCAACATCTTCATATGGTTACAGTCCTTTGTTATATTTATCTTATTAATGGCATGAGAGGGTCATACTTAATGTGTATGCTCGTGGTGAGATTTGGCAAGTCTTATAACATTCTATCATGCTCATCCTCATGTAACTCCTTGAATTGGTGAAATTTCACTCAGGGAGTCAGAGGACACTCTGCACAAGAGCCCTTTGTTAAAGTCCAGAAGGTTAATTCTTTCTGCTGGAAACATACACTATATAATTTAGGGTTAATTGCAGATAGACCCCTGTTCTATTGCCAAATTGAACTTCTTGCCCCTCTAGCTCTATTGTTGCAGGTAGACCCCCTGAAAGAGTATCGTTCAGATAGGTCACCTGAATGAAAATCTATTGTTGCAGATAGACATTCGGAAAAGAGTGAAATTTCACTCGGTGGTCAATCTGCAACAACAGGGCTACAGGGGTAGTAAGTTATATCCGCTGTAGTACAGACACGAGACCCTATGATTTATGTTCATGCAACTTGTGAGCAACCTTTCAAATGTTTTCCTTGAGCAACGCCCAAACATGTGAACTGAGTCCATCATTCATATGCTCATCCCTTTAATATTCAGTATTTATTTATCCAAGACATCATCATTTCAGAGTAACCCATTGCACATTCTTTACCATGCCAACAGAGTCACTCATTCATACGTGCATCCCTTTAATGCTTAGAACAGTCTTATTTATTGAAAACATCATTAACTCATAGAGTAACTTACTAAGCACTCTTTATTACTCACCTTATTCATACCATGATAAAAATTTGTAATTTTCTGTGGCATTCAGAACGTTTCGAATTTATATTTACCTATGCAATCCAAGGAAGTTTCTGATTTTAATCACTAACTAAATTAAATGACTATTCATGAATTCACATTGGATTAGAAACTAGAGCTATTTATTCATTGTTGTTCTCCATCTTGATGCAGATCCTGATATGCAGAAGCAGATCGAGAATACCCTTTCCATTGGACACATATCTTATGAAGTTCATTTATCTGTATGTTTGTGACTATCTTGCTTCTGTTTCTTATGTATTTTAGTTTTGAAAATTCATTATATAACCAGTTGTTTTCAAGGCATAAGGTTAATTCTGAGAACTTATATTATCCATTGCAGGCCTAATATCCAGACATATGGGAGCAAGCTGTTTTGGCAATTAAGAGGGAAGGCTACAGTATAAAGTGCAATGGCCCGCGTGGAGTTGTTGTTGCAGAGAAGTTCCAATCAACTACTACTGTATGGTTTTTTGCAAGATGTGGAATCGCTTATAGATGCTATTACTGTGTTACAGCTTGTCATAAATTGGTTAAATTTCAAAGTCATCGTTTCTGTGTCAGTGTCTATGCAACTATAGAATATATTATAAAATAGTATTCATTTTTATCACCTTTTAGAATTTATTTACTCCAATGTGCTGTGCTTTCAAAAGATATTTGGACCCTTTGTTGATGCATCAAACATTCTTCTGCAGATTACAATTCCTTATGGCCATCCCATGGAGTTCTCAATTCAATGTGCTAATGGTGATGAGTATCTCTTAAGGGAAAAAGATAGTAGCTACTAGCTGGTAAGTGCGTATTCACTTGCTATTTTTAGGTCTTATCATTATTCAAGGCTGCTATGTTTATAATGGTATTAGGATTTTTCAGGAGCTAATTGTAGATGTTCTTACCCTCATGTTAATAACTTAAATGCATGACTAGATACTTTATTTTTAGTTTCTCTAACTTGTTCTGAGTAAGTGTATGCTTATCTGTTTCTTCTGTTGCACTTTTATGCCTGATTTGACAGGTTTCGGGATACCATTGTGCTTACTATGAGATTATTCAAGAAGATGGTATGTTTGCTCTAACCTACTCAAAATTTTCTATTATATCTTCACCATTGTCCAGACAATGAAAATTCATGCGACTTGCTTCTTTTTCTGGACTCTCTTCCTTGTCATCAGAGGATTTGTTTGTCATCGGTGTTGTCTTTTTGACTATCTAGTCAGCATTGCTATATTTTAGTTCATGTTACTTTTAGTATGTTATCCTCTTTGTTTGAGGTACCAATTTCATTATCGAGTTTTGCCTGATTAACCGTGAAGTTAGACACAGATGGTATCAGATGCATTTTTCTTCTCATGTCATGGTTGACTGTGACCCAAGGGTTTGTTCCCTAAAGTAATGTTTATAATGCTAGGAAGCAGAGATATGTTTCAGCTGTATGTTCTTTCAGGGCGTTACCTAATGCAAGAGGACACCCACTCTGGAAAAATGCAATACATAGTTCGTATATTATGCGTAATGAGATGGTTTAATTTCTCTAGATCATTCTTACCACCTGATCTCCATTTAGTCACCACTATGCAGCTTGCTGCTCTTACTGCCCTGTTCTGTTTTTGTTTCTTCTTCTTTAGTTTTTACGCTACTGGTAAGATACAACCTGGGGCACAAAAGAGAAATCTGATGATCTATAATGAAATCTGATGAGTTCTGAAAGCAATATTTAGAAGCTAAAGAAATCTGAACACAGTACTGAAATGTCTGAGAACTCCTGGGTATTACTATATGCTAGCGTTAAAACTGTGCGCAAAATTTTAGGAAGAGTGCAGACAAGAAGTGTGACTTCCTTACTCGAATTTTAATTAAATTTAAAACTGAGCAAGTTCTTGTCGTGGGTTTCATGTCCAAATTATTAGTGTTCTCTTCGCCTTCTATCTGTTTCTTAATCTGTGTGGTCAGTTACTTGCTGTTGGTGTGAATTGCAGAGATTCTAATTAAGGCCAGTTCCATCATTTGTTTGTTCTATAGAACAGTACCGTCCCATGCATATTAAACTGTGTTGTCTGGTGACATTCTTTTTCTGCTGTAATCATCATGTTACTGATAATATGGCTGATATTACACTAGCAACATATTTATATTTCTAATGAATATTTCGTTTTTTAATAAGCTGCAATGCATATTATACACTGGATATCAAAATTGGACATGTATTTTTTGTGCCCTTTGGCTAAAAGACAGATATTTTGCTGCAGGCAATAGAAAAGAGGAAAGGGAGAAAAAAGGGCCTCTTCTTCAAATCCTAGTCCTTGCCATTACGAAGGATGGTGATGTATATAATTCTAGAATTTAATACATTTCTGCAGATGTACATTAGATGTAGAGGTCTTCTCCATTATTCTAATCTCAGCTGTAAAGATCTCTACCAATTTTTCTCGAAGGAGAGATCATCTTAACTTCTTCTGTCCCCAGCACAATTCTGTAAAGATCTCTACCAATTTTTCTCGAAGGAGAGATCATCTTAACTTCTTCTGTCCCCAGCACAATTCTACCTGTTTGCAGTACATTTTCCAACTGTTCTTGTTCTGTACATCTCTTAGCTTCCTGCTTAGGCTTTAAATGGACAGATGCTGGATGATATCAAATATTATCGAGCCAATTTGATGAAGTCATAAATTAAAATGCAAAGGTTGAGCTGTTAGCTGAATAGCAATTATTATTATTATTATTTATTTTTGTATTTTTTGTTTTTTTATTTTTCTTGGTTGGTGCTTCCAATTTGCTATTGGTTTGCAGTTCACATTACACTGGATTAAATATGGATCTATATTGTGATATCAATTTTGACTATATTTGAATCTGAGCAAGTTCTTAATGCCAGCTTTTGTTCATTTGCATCATCAGGTTTTCCTTGTTGCTTAATCCATGGACTGACTGGATCTGCTGATAGTTGTCTGAGCTCATTCAAATTGATTGCATGATTTATCATTTGTGAAGGGGTCGGGATAAACTTGCCTAATGCCTCATTGTATTATTAGTAGTGCAACGACACGATTTTAACTCGAATGGTTTCCAGATTATGTTTCTTTTCTTCTGTGTGTGGGTGGATTGGTGGGTGATTTTTATCTCCTTTCTTTTTTTGGACGGGTTGGGGGTGGGGGGGTGGGGTAGGTACATTACGCTGATATGCATCTGCCATCCAGTAATGTTTTTGCTTGCTGGAACCGTTAAAGATCATATGGTGCGAACGTTATAGTGCTGGATTTGGTATTGTTAGTGTGTACTTTGGTATCATATAGCATTAGACATTTCTACTTGGTAATCATATATTATTTGACAAGATCTATTGATCTTTAACGGTTCGTGTTTGGAGGTATTAAGCTTGTTCTGTCAAGAGGATTGTATTAATCTCACCAAACGCTTTCACTGGTAATTCTTGACCCCATTTTCTAGTTTTGGTTCTAGGCATAGCCCTCGCAAAATAACTCGGGGGAATTGACAGTCAGGAAATCTCAAGGACGGATGACTTGGATCTGCATAAAGATTAATACTTTGGTATTTTCTCCAAATTTCCTTATAATTCTTAAAACTATTAGTTACGAGTAACAAAGGGAACATATTTCTGTCACCGCTTTGGCTATATAAAGAAATCTTGTTGGTAGAATTAAAACAGTTTATATGACTTTCGCTTCATGACAAAAAAAATACGCGTAGTGATATATTCTCCCATCCATTATCATTCTTAAAAGAAAACATAGCGAAGATAAACGAAGACAATAATCCTTCTTATCTAAGAGCCATGACAAACTGAGTTTTTTGCTTAATCAAAGCAACATAATTTATGTGCTTTCAATTTTAATTGGGAAAAAAAACACTTCAAACTTTTTGAGAGAGATTCCTCTCAAACTCCCTTTTTGGCGAGCCTATCTGCTATGTTGAGGGGGTGATTTTGTAAATCACCCCTCAACTCATCTGGGATTGGCTTCCAAACCCTATTTACCCAAGTTATTTTTTCCCTGTCACTCCCCCAGGATTCTCATCACCTTCTCCATCGCCTGCAGCTGAACTCTTCATCATTTGACAGATATTATGAAAGTTGAGGTCTTTAGACTTCAAATTTATAGCATATAACATTTCCGAATACTCTGGACATAGACATCAGTAAAATGATTATCCAAATCTTTTCTGGGTCTTAATTCATTCATATACAAATGATTATCCAAAGCATTTCTCTCAAGGGAATGTCAATAAAAAATACATCAATATAGCTTCAACACAAAGAATGTACAAGTAATGGAATGAATATTACAGTTGTCCAAACTTTACTGAATCTTAATTCATTCATCTTGCATTTCACTAAATTAATGCAAAGCGCATGTACTTTTTTTTTGTAATCATACGAACTCAAAGAACACATACAATTATCTGCGGATTGAAGTAAAATTCTTGGTACATTTGAGCTGAAAATGCACCTCGTCGTGAAGGTACTAGAAGGTGACAGATAAAATATGCTAATCTCTGTATTCAATGCAAGTACCGTTTCAAAAATCACGTGTAAACAAAATAAAAATTCCAGGAAAATTTTCAAACCGACCAATTCCTGTCATTAACTGGAAATCTGCAGCAAGTAAATGATCGAATAAGTGATAACACACATTTATGGATGCCCATGCGAATACTGAGGAGTTTGATACAGGGAGAATTGTGCATGAATCAGTCTTTATCTAGTTTTGGGTTTATTATAGTCACATTAATTGTTACTGTAATTAAATGTTAAATGTGTGGATTTGAGTAATAAATAGGCTGACCATAAATAAGCGGGTATGTTTTACCCATTTACTCTTTTATGGTCCATTTAACATTTTCTAAATGGACGGGTTTTTACCCGCCCATTTAATAAACGTGTCACACATTTATCTATTTACTCATTTATAGCCCATTTAACATTTTCTAAATGGACGGGTTTTTACCCGCCCATTTAATAAACGGGTCACACATTTACCAATTTAACAATAGTAGTTATGTATATAATATTTTTTGAGGTGTTTTTGTAAATTTTTAGGGGGTCTTTTTGCAAACTATTGGAGGCTTTTTGTAAACTTTTGGGGACTTTTTGCAAACTATTGTGGGCTTTTCGCAAACTATTGGGGGCATTTTTTTTTGCAAAGATAGGAACATAAACAAAGAGGAACAAACAAAGGCAGACAAGTTCATGACTGAACCATTTACAAGCTTGGATAAAAGTACAGACCTCACACATTTGCAAAATTAATACATAACAAAAAATAGTGCCAACATATCATGACCTTTGAACCTGAGACAAGGTATCCATAACAAAATATTAATACACATTTTATGCTGAAACACATTAATAAAGACTGCACAAGAAACTAAAAAAAATACAAATTGCTCCTTTGGTATATCATTTGCTCAATATGTTTCCACTGAATTATATTCATCATACCCTTTATCCTCTCTTGAATCAGACTGTAGAGGTGCCTCTGAGCTCGTCAATCTGACTGATGAGTTAATATATTGAGGCACAAGACCCTACAACAACCATGCAACTGCTCCGTGTCTCAAGAAAGCTCCAACCTGTACAAAATGAATAAGGTGAATTACTTGCATACTTCAGATAAAACTATTAGCATCTCGTGTATGTAAGATGTAGTAACTCTAGTCTCCAAATTAAACTAATAATGCGTATTTCCCCCCCTTCAGCGGGCAAACTTTAAAAACTTAGCTTCATATACAAAAGTACCTATATGAAACAATTCATGAGATTGGGTCCAGAAGTAGTTTAGTATCAATAAACTAGTGTCTGACTCTGGTAACTGCCACTAACAATAGCATGTAATGCTTTAGAAGTTCTACGTACTTACATACTTAACAATTAAAAGTGTCCACCAACAGTATCGCAAGTTGACACAAATTTTAATAGAGAAAGACTAGGATTGTAAATATTCATTTTTATATCAAATCTATATTCAGCGTTGCTTGCTAAAAGAGGATCAGAGTGAAGTCAACCAAACATGAAATTTGATCAATATTAAAGTGTAGAAAATGGAGGAAACTTTTCTGAAATAAGTAGGGCAACAAATGGCGTTGCAAAAACCCCCAAAGCCATCAAAATTCTCCACTCCCTTAATTCCCTCAAACCCTAACGTCGCCTCAACGCCTCAAGACGTCTAATTACCTCCAAATCTCAGCACAAGATCAACGGAAGAATCGAAGATGAAGAGGGGGTGGAGCGGTAGAGGAAAGGGCATATTATTGGCAACCCCTCAGTTTTTAATGTTAGTTAATAATCTTAAATACTGATAATCAGAACATAAAAGGGCAAAATAAGAATAAATAGATAGAAATATAGGATAAAACTATAATTAAGCAAGTTGAAAGGGGTAAAATGGACATGCAAAAGTTTTGTCACTTGTTTTCTCTTTTAGAAATAGTATAGATATAGATTTATGACCAATTAATCCAAACACCTAGAATCATAAAAGTTCGCTAATCCTAAACAAATAGAGACCCCTTCATTTGTTCATATCTCGTACATATGATGGTTTAAGATGAGATTATACAGGGTAATACCTTGTTTAACTTGTTTACTTTTCTCGAAAACCGCAGGCTGTTCTCCCTTCAAAACTCGCGGCTCGATTTTTTCCCCCTTTTCCTTTTATTACTCGTTCTTCCTTCTATCTTTGATTTTCAGTTTTGTTATTATTTTATTTTATATTCATTTTAAAGAAAGAACGATGCTACAGATTGTTCCTTTCTTTTAGGAAAATGTTTTTTTGGCACGCAAGTGCCAAATAGCAGGGTTCTTATAGTTATTATTTTCTTTCTTTGCATAGAAGTCCTTTCATAACTTAATGTTTATAACATAAGACTTATTACCTGTTGCTTTTGGGTAAAATTAGGGCTTCTCTCTCATAGAGAGGTGTCCCTCTTATATATAAATGCATTCTTACAAGAAAGTCCTTCCAACATTAACTAATTACCATAATATATCTAAATAACTCAACACTCCACCTCAAGATGGGCGATAGATATCAATCATCCCCATCTTGTTACAAAAGATACCATGCTCTCTAGAACCTAATCCTTTTGTTAAACAATCAGCTAACTGCTCTTCTGATTTCACATAGCTCAAAGTCAGAGCTCCTCTATTCAGTTGCTCCTTGATAAAGAATCGATCAATCTCCACATGTTTGGTGCGATCATGCTGAACTGGATTGTTTGCAATATTAATCGCTGATTTGTTATCACACCAAAGTTGTAAGGGGTCTCTTCTAAACAGGCGCAGCTCAGATAATATGTTTTTGACCCACATCAACTCGCAAAGACTAACTGCCATAGCCCTGTACTCGGCCTCAGCTGTAGACCTAGCCACCACATCTTGCTTCTTGCTACGCCAAGATATGAGATTGCCTCCAACAAATACACAGTAGCCTGTAGTGGACCTACGATCATCCATACAACCTGCCCAATCAGCATCACAATAGCCTTCAATTTTTAGATGTCCAGAACTCCTAAACCATAACCCCTTTCCTGGGCTTCCTTTAATATACCTAAGAATTCTGCGAACTGCCTCCATATGCTGCTCTCTGGGATCATGCATATATCTACTTACTACACTCACTGCATGAGTAATATCCGGTCTCGTATGACATAGATATATAAGTCGTCCAACTAATCTTTGATATTGCTCTTTACTCACCGGGTCACCACCCTCGACACACATCTTATGATTCTGCTCTATGGGAGTAGATGCAACTCTACACCCCAACATCCCTGTCTTTGAGAGAAGATCCAGAGCATACTTCCGCTGAGAAAGTACTATACCCTTTCGCGACCTTGCAATTTTAATTCCGAGGAAGTACTTCAACTGCCCCAGATCTTTAACTTCAAATTCCTCTCCCAATTTCTTCTTCAACAGTAAGATTTCATCAGCATCATCTCCAGTGATTACAATATCATCAACATAGACTGCCAGGATAGTGATACGAGTTTTGGAGTGCCTGTAGAATACAGTATGATCCCCATTGCACTGTTTGTACCCCATACCACAGACTGCCAACTTGAATCTGTCAAACCATGCCCTCGGAGACTGTTTTAACCCATACAAAGACTTCTTCAACTTGCACACCTTCCCAGCTACCTGAGAAGTAGTGAAGCCTGGTGGAATCTCCATATACACCTCCTCTTGGAGATCTCCATGCAAAAAGGCATTCTTGACATCTAGCTGATGTAATGGCCAATTAAAGTTGGAAGCACATGACACCAACATTCTAACAGTGCTCATCTTTGCTACTGGAGCAAATGTCTCATCATAGTCAATGCCATACGTTTGGCTGTAGCCTTTAGCAACCAATCTGGCCTTGTATCTGTCGATCTTGCCCTCTGGAGTTTGCTTAACCGTATACACCCACTTACATCCAACAGCACGCTTCCCAGCTGGCAAAGGTACCAGCTCCCATGTGTCATTCTTCTTCAAAGCCTGAAGTTCTTCTTGCATGGCACTCAACCACCTAGGATCTTGCTTAGCTACCTACCAGTTGTTAGGTACAGACACTGAATGCAATGATGCAATGAATGACTTATATGCAGGTGGAATGGATGCATATGAAATGTAATTGGCAATGTCAGTATCCCAACTACCAAACTTAGCTGGAGGTTTTCCAGCATTGACTCTAGACGTTCTGCGAGACAAGACAGGAGTATTAGAAGAATCGTTACCTATCAGCTTAGGTGGAAAAGATGAGGAAGGCACTGGAGAGGAGGGACTTGGGACATCAACAGTTATTGGTACTGGCACAGACACAGGAGGCGGCTCATGCTGTTGTTTCTGTCTCCTTGTGTATACTCTCAGCTCCCCCTGACCTTGACTGCCAACTCCTGAGTCGTCACCACTACTTGGTGATGTACCATCACTACTCGGTAACTCAAACGGACATGGAATCATCCCAACCACGATGCCTTTCTCATTCTCAACCATGATGTCATTCTCATTCCCCCCCTCTCTACTAGCATTAGTAGAGCCATCTCCAAACAAGGAACTCAACTCCGTCTTCTCCCCATAAAAAGGTTCAAACTCCCGAAAAGTCACATCCATACTGACAAACAACCTCCTTTCAGTAGGACACCAACACTTGTATCCTTTTTGACTTGATGAGTAACCAACAAAGATACATTTAACTGCTTGCGGATCCAATTTACTCACCATCAATCTGTGATCTCTCACATAACATGTGCATCCAAACACTCTTGGTGGAACAACAAAAACATTCGAGCCCAAGAGCATCTCACATGGGGTCTTCATCCCTAATACTCTTGATGGCATTCTGTTAATCAAATAAGCTGCTGTCATAACAGCCTCACTCCATAAAAACTTGGGCACATTCATTGTTAACATCAATGAGCGTGCGACTTCCAGTAGATGCCTGTTCTTGCGTTCAGCCACCCCATTCTGAGCAGGGGTGTCTGGACAAGTGGTTTGATGAAGAATTCCCTGGCTAGAGATGAAAGCAGCAAACTCCTTGTTGACATACTCAGTCCCATTATCTGTTCGAAGAATCTTCACCTGCATTCCAAATTGTGTCTTCACATAAGTCGAGAAATCTTGAAAACATTTGTGAACCTCAGATTTTTGCTTCATCATGTATATCCAGACCATACGTGAATAACAATCAATGAAAGTAACAAACCATCTAAAACCACTAATAGATGTAGTAGGGCATGGTCCCCAAACATCAGAATGGATAAGTGCAAATGGTTCAAAACTTCGAAGGCCAATCATTTTATAAGTAGAACGAGTATGTTTTCCAAGTTCACAAGCATTACAAAATAACTCTTTTCTATCCACTTTTTGCATTATCTCAGGTTCTAACCTACTCAAACTATCAAAAGATAAATGCCCTCGTCGACAATGTTGAAGCATTGCTTCTGCCTCTGGCCCTCCATTAACAGCAGCAGCAATCATTGCAGTCTCCCTGTCCAAGTACCAAAGACCATCACGCCTGATGTCAGTCCCAATCCTCCTCCCCGTTTCCTTCTCCTGAAAGACACATATATCCCGATCAAATAACACAATGCAATTTAACTGATCAATGAGAGAACTAACAGAGAGTAAGTTAACTGGAAACGAAGGAACATGCAATACAGATGATAAGGTAACAGATGAAGTGCAATGGACCGAGCCAGTACCCCTGATGGGTTGGGATGTCCCATCAGCAGTCTAAACTGTCTCAGGATGCATATGTTTACTCGGATAATATAATGCAAACTCACTAGATGCTCCTGTGACATGTCTAGATGCACCTGAGTCTATGATCCAATCAACATGAGTTTTAGTGGATGCAAGTGCCTGTACCCGTGTACCTTTGTAAGCATGAGCATAACCAACAAAGTTACCAAAGCAGGTAGTGTTATCAAGATCCTGAGTGACTTGTCTCTTGCCCTTTGAACTCTCAGATTGAAGCTTGAACTGACGTAGTTCCTCCAGCTTTATTATTTCAGCTCCAGTCATCTCAGCAGCAGTCTGGGACTCCTCTGCCACAGCTAGGTGAGCAACTCCTCGGCCTCCACGTCCTCTGCCTCCTCGACCTGTACGCCCCCCTCTCTGTCCTCTGCCCCCTCGGCTACCACCAGTATTGCGGGGTTGAGGGCAATTGTAGCTGAGATGCCCTTTTTTCCCACAATTGTAGCACTCTCTGTCATCTCTGATGTGAGCATCTGGAACCACAAATGCCGAGCGAACAGCAGGTGAGGCCTCGCCTATCATCACTTTCTGTCTGATCTCCTCTTGTTCCATCGATGCAATAGCCTCATCTAAGGAGGGAAGAGATGACAAGTGGCACATTGCTGCCCTTCTTCCCTCAAACTTTGGGTTCAGACCCTTGAGAAAACGAGCCACACGCCTGCGCTCAAGATACTGCCTCCCAATAAGAACATCTGCCGGACTCTGTAGTGATAACGGATCATAGTGGTCTAAATCCGCCCATAAGTGACGTAGCTCTGCTGCATACTGGTGGACTGTCTTCTCCCCTTGTGTGGTAGCATCAATCTTCTCCTCCACTTCCATCATCATCATCACACTCCCAGCTCCAGAGTACATCCCCTCCAATGTCTTCCAGACATCAGCTGCACCTGAGATAGACTCCACCATCCCAGCTATGGTTGGAGACACAGAAGTTAACAACCAAGAAACCACCAGAGAATTAGTGTTACTCCATGTGTTCCACTCAGCACTCGCCTTATTCTCCGGCTCAGTGCACTCCCCCTTCACATACTTGTCAAGTCCTTTGATTCGAAGGTTCAACAATGCCCTTCGAGACCAACTCAGATAGTTTCTTGTCCCCTCAAGCTTGATATCATTAGGTAGCAGCTTTATCATTTGCATTACATGCGCCGACTCCGGTGCGGTCACGACTGACCTACTGGAATTCTCCTCTAGTTTGGTCTGAAATACTCTGGCCACCCCCTCCAGAATCTCCTTCAAATCCTGACTAGTCACAGGTGTTCCCATCTTCACAGTCTAACTGCCCTTATCTCACACCCAGTGACCCAACACAGAAACAAACAAAAAACCTCTACCGTAGAGCTTCTTGTTTAGAGAAAATATAAAGCTGACTGTTAGACAGTTTTGACACGTATTAGTCTTGTATTGAAGCCATACCTTGATCAAATTGTCTTCCTGTTCCTTTTTTCCCCCTTCCTTTTGTTTTCTGGATCGATCGAAGGAGGGGAAAGTTCAACGGAAAGCCAACGGGTCGCAGGCTCTTCCCCACTCCTGAAGAGATGGCCACTGATACCTAAGCTCGTCCTCACGCCTCAAAACAAGATCTCTACCGTTCCAAGATCTCTACTGTTTTCACTCGGAAACCCTAGAAATTTCCCCCGAAGAAAGAGAGATGAACTCCATTTCCTTCTCGTCCTCCTTCATCCCCACCAGAGTCCCACCTCCTCGCCATAGGACATCGATCCCCGTCCCGAATCTGTCAAGCGGAGGAACCCGGTGTTCTTCGGCGTTGCAGGCGGTGGTCGGTGTGAAGGAGATCCCGAAGACACAGGCGCTGAAGCGGATGATGGGTATATAAGTAAGGAAGCTTTGGATGCTAAAGATCCCAACCTTGAGTAGCGACGTTCACCAGCGAAGAGTGTCGCTAGAGGAGCCGCCACCAGATGGCTCTGATACCATGTTGCTTTTGGGTAAAATTAGGGCTTCTCTCTCATAGAGAGGTGTCCCTCTTGTATATAAATGCATTCTTACAAGAAAGTCCTTCCAACATTAACTAATTACCATAATATATCTAAATAACTCAACATTACCAATAGAAAATTAGGGATATTACAGAGCTATCCATAAAAATGCCATACAACATCAGATGAGGAAGAGAGATTTTACCGAATAGCTAATCAATATCGATCTTAGGGATGTGTTGGATGTTGGGCCAATCTGCACCTTCATTCTCCCGGCATCGCTCCTTCAGTGCCTCGTTGCAGCCCCGGATCTCCAGCCACTGCAGGGACGAAGGAAGTTGTGGCAGTGATTGAAGCTCACAAGCATCACGAAGTTCCAAATACTCGAGGGAAGAGAGAGTTTGGAGGCTAGAAGGCAAGAACTTTGCTTTACCCCGCAGGATGAGACGTTGCAGTGAAGTTGAATTCTGCAACAGCCATGACTCTGCGAGAGCATCCTCCAGATGACTACAATCTTCTATTTCTAGCCACCTGACAGATGTGAGTCTTCTCAATGGCTCTACGTGGAGCAGGAACGGGTCGTCGATGTAAAGACCTTCAACAGTCGATGTGAACTCCTGCTCCTCTTCCGGCTCGATTGATGCTGAAGTTGTTTCCGCAGCTGCTCGCACGAGCTTGGGACACTCTCTAATGGTTAGGTATTTAAGGTGAGCCTTTAGGCGCTCAATTGATGCCAGCTCACCACACCCTGCCAGTCTCAACTCCCTCAGTGAAGTAAATCTTCCACACCCCACGTCGGAGGGAAAGGCGGTTATGTGGTTATCTCCACCTAATACAAGGGTTGAAAGAGAAGTAGGGGAACTTTGCATTAATAACGCAGGAGTGGGACCGTCCGATCCACCACAATCAACAAGCCAAAGGGATTCGAGTGATGGGAGAGAGAAACAATCAGCTGGGGTAACTGTGTCTGGGGACATCCTCAGCTTAGGGCAATTCTCAATCGCCAACCACCTGAGAGACGTGAGATGATGTCGGAACAAGCCAGCCACGGATGTCAGCTCTCCACACCGTCTAATTCTCAGTTCATAGAGGGATGGAGAGGACGTGGATGAAAAGCTACCACCGCGGCTGCTACCACTGCAGTTGCTGCCCACCCAGAACGTTGGGGAATCAGACAATCCCACGTCTTTCAAATCCAATGATTGGAGACCGAGGGGCAGAGGGGGCAGCGCCTTCAGTCTGGGACAATTCCAGATGACAAGTTCCTTGAGGAGAGGGCACCAGGGTACCGCCTCTGCTTCTAATCCACACCACTCCTCCCATTGCTCACAGTGAGAGATGCGCAAGTACTTTAGTTGTTGAAAGCCACCTTCACAATTAATTTGCTGAAGAGCTGGCAGTCCCCTCAATGTCAAACGCATGAGGTACGGGAGCTTCCCGAGAGAAGGAAGGTGCTTCCATGCCCTGCCACGTTCAAGGCTCACGTGCTCCAGATTTTTTAATAGGTCTGGTTCCATCCAACGTGGAGACCTGGCGCCTTGGTACCCGTAGATTTTCAGTTCCCTGAGGCTATCAGGCGGCTTCAGGAGATCAAGCATCTGTTCATACTCATCCGCCACATCACTGTCATCAGACCAAACCAGCTCTAACTTGAGGAGGTTCCTTTTACGATGCAACTCGATTGTATTGACTTCCTCGTGATGTTTGTGATTCTCAAGGCCACGGATCTTCAGTTCCCGCAAATCTCTCATCTCCTTCAATTCGCTCAATTTGTAAGCTTCAGCAGCGAACGACAAACCTTGAAGTGAAGTTAATGTCCCGATCCCCTCGATTTTTTCATAGTAAACTTCCCATGGGATCATGTGTCTCAAACTAACAAGACCATTCAAGCCAAGAACAGTACTCTCAGTAGCAGAAAAACGACCGTAAAGGACCTGCAGGTGGTAGAGCCTACAGAATGAACTAGGTAACCGAGAAATATCATGAAGACTCGACAAATATCTAATATGCCTCAGGTTACTAATTGCATCTGGCAATACGTTCATGCCGTCAACATCTAGGCGCAACACCCGAATGCTTTCCAGTGACTTAAACGCTTCTTCAAAAGCCTTAGCATGCTCATTAACATATCCTCTGAAGACTAACACAAGCGTGCGGAGATTCTTCCATTTGCCCACATCTTTAAGAAGGTCAAGTTTTTCGGTTTCAAAATGTAGATGACGTACCGTATTCGGGATCTGGTCAATTGACATGTCTCCGACAAATCTAAAGCAATCACCATCAGACACTTTACGTACTAGATCATGCAAAAGATCATGCATGTTGTAGCCACCTCCGTAGTAACGTTGTTCGAGAAATGATAGTTTCACTAAATCATCGAAGTAACCCCTTCCAGTGTCCTCCAGTGTCTCGTTTGGATATTGGAAAGATTTTTTAATGAGACCAATAGCCATCCACATGAAGACTAGATCATCTTTATCGAACCCATAATCTTGAGGAAAGATGCTGCAATAAGCAAAACATGGTCTTAAGTGCATTGGTAAATGGTGGTAGCTTAACATCAAAACTGCCATCACACCATCCCTCTCCTGTGCTTTATCGGATATATTGTCCGCATGCAAAATTCCGTTCCAATGACTATCATCCAACTTGGAATTCAATACCGCTCCAATAGTCTTTGCAGCCAATGGTGAGCCCCCGAGCCTTCTTGCTATTTTCTCACCAATGGATTTCAACTTCCCATAATCACAAGAGTCTACCCCAGCAAATGCATGTTGCTTGAAAAGTGATAAGAAGTTGTCATCATCTAAAGGTTTCAGTTTCATTGGCTCATTTATTGATCCCCCCAAAGCCCCCAAAGCCGATGCGGCCATTTTTGCAACTGCCGCACTTCTAGTAGTTAACAAGATTTTGCTTCCTTTATGGCCGCTTCTCAAAGGAGCAAACAATTTATCCCACCCAATACGATTGTTATCATTCCATGCGTCATCCAAGACAAGGAGAAATTTTTTGGACGATGCCAGTTTCGTAAGAGCTTCCTGCAGAGCGTCAAGTCCGCTGACTTCAGGTCTCTTTTCCTCGGCGGATTCTATTATATCTGCCATGACCTTTTCGACAACAAAGCCAGTGGAGACAGTCACCCAGATTTTGCGACCGAAGGAATTAGTTAAGCTCTCGTCCTTATAGACGAGTTGTGTGAGGGTGGTCTTGCCCATTCCTCCATGGCCAATAATGGAGAAAAGAGATACACTTGTACTGCTCTCATCCTTTTTCAACCACTCTAACAGTTCCTCCCTCTCTTCATCTCGTCCAAACACTTTTCCCGTAGATAGAGCTGGTCCAGCATTACGATCAGGAACCCGGATCTCAGTTGGAGATGGTCCAGTTTCACGTCGTTGCCTGGATTCTTGTAGTTGTAGTGTAGAGATGAAATTTCCCACGCCCGCTGCGACTTTATCTAGCCTTTTCACAGCCCCCCTCAGTTTCTCGAGGGTGGGGTCAGATTTTTTGAAGACCCTTTCACTAGCTTTTTTAACTTTCTGTTTATAGTCGGAGAGACGACCACGCACTTCACCCCTGCCTGCACGCGAAGTTCATTTGTCTTTTATTGATTAAATTCGAAAAGCAATCATTTATTTTTTTAGCATCTGATTGCTAACCTTCAGTTATGAAATAAAAAACTGATAACAAGAAGGCGAATTTTCATTTTTTTTTTTTTGACATTTAAAAAGCCATCACTTACCACTATCACCATGTCCTTTGCTGCCTGAGGCTTTCCCCTCAACTTGCTTCTGCAGCTTAAGGTAATCAAGGTCATCAAGCACGTTGTCAGCCTCATCCAACGCATCAGTGAGTTGGCACAACCATTTCTTGAGTGCTCCAGTAATTTCTTGCTGCCCTCTTTCAGCCATCTCCACAACAGCTTGGATTCGAGGAAGAGCATCGTTGAGCCTTTCAAGCTCAACTCTCATCCTAGTATCCCGAGCAAAATACCGGTCTGCTGCATAGTTGAAACCGATCTCCACCAACTTCTCGATGATCTTGGTCACAATCACGTCTCCGACCACCACCATGTTTTTATGAGTATCGAACACTCTCCGCTCTTGCTTTCTAGTAGTAGATCTAAACTTCGATTGCGGAGAGTTGCAGAGAATTCCTTAATTAGTTCACCTACGTTACTTAAGAAATGGGGGACTTATATATATCCACACTCCGAATAATTATGATAAACCCCACTCCGCCCCCACATCAAGTTGCGGTTAGCAGGCGGGATTGAGAGGATGAATATCAACCTACTTTGCGCAGTTCAAGTCAACAAGTCAATAATAAAGATACAAAAGGAAACGTTGAGTGATTACAGAGGCCACGAAACACGCCATGTGATGTGGGAACCCAAAAATTGAAAAATAAGAGAACAAAATGGTGGGGGCTTGGAAACCAATTATTGATCTTTGCTTGGATTCCTTGCCTTCAAAATTTTCAAACTTGATGATGAGGGCTCGTTATGAGCCGTGTGATTGTGTACAATTGTATGTATGAGTCGTAATTCCAACTAAAGCATAGTTTTGATAGTTGCTCTTCCTGTTACAAACCTGACAAGGTATTGATTAAAACAAGGTAAATTGAAACAGCCTACAAAGTTTATCGTTCAAATTGGAGAATATTGGATTAACGCTGCAATTATTATTATTATTTATTTCCAAATTGTTTAAATACCAGTTTAACGTTCATATTGGATGTATATTCACATGTTAAGTCAATATGAGAAAAGAATAAGATAAGCGGAATTAGGATAATGATCTAATAGTAAAGTTATTGAGTTGCTAAACTAAGACCAAGTCGATGAATTATGAATGCCTAAGCTCAGGAACTACGTAGATGATGATAGTGATTCAAATATAACACTGAGAGCTAATTTTCTTAATCCATGCTTCAAGATTAAGATGGTCTGGATCTAGTATTTGAGGCATAAATTTTGGAAGATTGGTATCACTATCAGCATTTATATTTAGCACTATGGGTGGAAATGAACCAAATAATTAACAAATAGTTCAATAATTGTTCGACTAACTATTTGGTCATATTCGATTCGAGAGTTCATTTGCCACAAAACAAATATTTTTTAGAATTTAACCACATGTATATTCGATTCGTTTGTCTATCAAATATTCGTTTAAAATTTAATCACTTATTATTTGTATTATTGAACATATGATGTCACATGTTTAACCCACTTACCATTTATACTTAAGTTTTATGTAATAAGTTTAAGACTTAAATAATCTTAAATATGTTTTCTAATGAAAATTTTGATTTAAATATATATACATCATATATCATAAAGTAATAATTTTTATTCATGAATTTAAATACAGTTAATCACAGAGAACTCATTAGGACTCCTAAATTAGTCAAGAAATGAGGACTTACGTCTACACGCGGAATTTTCATGATAAACCTTACTCTGTCCCACATTTACTTGCAAAGCGGAAGTGAAATTGAGACGTTGATTATCAACTTTGGGGACTTATTTTTTTGGGTTTTGTCTAAACCCAACGTTTGACCTCCAATAGTTTTAAGCCCAGCTACTACCGGAAAGAGCCGATTGAGTTATTTCAAACCCATTTTTTTCAGCGACTTGTGAATTGATTATGAGCTGTTGCCTTTTTTCCTTTATTTTTAATTAATTTTGCGACTATAATGATTGGTCAAAAGTAAAATAAAGGGCAAAAAATTAGAGGAATGAAAATCTGGATTAGTCTTCCAAATCATCAAAATCGTTATTTAGTCCCCCCCTAGTTCATATAAGTTACTTTGAATTAGCTTTCGTGCGGAACGGGTGCGTGATTTAGAGAGAACACCATTAAATTTAACTTTTTGATTCGGTTTCAGTTATATCACTTTCCACAAATTTAGTGCAAATCAAATCCGTTTAACACCCAAATCCAATCCCTCTTTTTCTTCACTAGGGGAGAGGAAATGTTTGTGGTCTTGGGATAATCACTATCCAACCAGAGTTAATTAAGAAATTGGACTGAAAACTAAATAATCTGTAATTGACCTATGCGATTTCGGGGACTGAATAGCAATTAGGGTGCATTCGGTTCGGATACGGTTCGGATATGACACTTACCATAACCATAACCACTTTTTGAAAATGGATACAAATACGATTCAGATATTCATCAGTAAGAAAAAAAAAACATTACTATATCCACATTAAACGGATATTGTTCGGATATTAGAGAGTTGGATACGGATATGATACAGATACTAATCGGATATTTGAGAAAACATTAGGAGCCGTTTTCAAAAAGTAGTTATGGTTATAATAAATATCATATCCGAATCGTTTACGAACCGAATGCACCCCTATATGTTACGCATAAAGATGCTCTCAAACAAAACCATTTCCCTCCCTTACTTGTTTGTGCACTCATGATAGCAATACAATGATTTTAAAAACATGAAAGGTTTGAGGGAGCAATATCTAAAATAAAAAAAAAATCATGTCAGAAAGAAATCCAATTGTTTCTCTCTCCAAATTTATGACAACGGGAAGCAGACAGGTAATTTCCTTTTGCAAATCCGGCCACGTCATTAGTTTATGCCATAAAAGCAGAACCTGACTGCAATACGAGGGCCGAGGAAGTCAACGATAAGAAAGAAAAGTGTTTGCTGCATTGATAAGAAAGAAAAGTGTTTAAAATTCTTAGCTTTAGAATTTTCAAAACTGATGATGACGAGGATTCATTTGTGCTGAGCTGCAACTACACGCGCATTGGTAGTTTCATTATTTAAAATTGAGAATGGGGAATCCTTTGGACAGGCCGGCACGCCAGAAGACCATGATAAGCAATCATTTCTTGTTTTATAACTCCTTTAAAAAAAATTTAGACGCCGTTTCCTAACCGCGTATGCTTATGACAAGGGGTTCATTTGTACTCATCTGCAACTGCGTTCACGTCGGTAATTACGTTATACTAGCATTCTCATACGGGCACTTTATCGAACAGTTAAAGTGCAATTGAAACCAAGAGACAAATTACCCATCACCTCGAGGGCGCGTGGGGTCATCAAAGCCGAGGGACCAGACTATGGTGTACGGGCGTTCATCCTCAAGTTTCACCTCTTGAGCAAGATGTCGCTTTTGGGGGGACAAGGTGAAAGATCCATTCATCATTTTTATACTCATATGATTGACATTTGGCAACAACTTGCAACTCTTGATCCTAATATAATGGATCTAGAATCAGTCAAAACTTTGACTTTATATCGGGATCTACAGCATCCGTTTCAACGCCTCATGCGACTTCGTTGTGAGGGGCTGTTTGGTTGGTTTCCTAAAATCAAAGAAAATGAAATAGGACATTGGAAACCATTAAAAGTTGATTTCCATCAATTTCCATTCTTAAAAATCAAAGATTGATTGTAATTGTGAAAACTTCTGTGATTTCGCACGTCATCACCTTATCAGCAGAACAATTTCCTTAGCTTAGATTAGCTCTCGAATGCAGCTGGCTGATTTCATTACTAAATCTCAGATCCTCCAACGTCATCTCTTTTGCATAAGCAAACTCTTGTTGGTTGGTCCACCATGATTTTTTTTTTTTGGGGGGGGGGGGGTGGGGGTGGGGTGGGGGTTAACATAACATTAATCCTTAGTTTAGTCCCTCATCGAGTTTCTATAGAGAAATAGTAGCCTAATGGAAAATCACTTAGGTTTCCCCGATATTCTCCAAATCTTTTAACCTTTTTAGCGAAAACCCCCTAAAAAGTGTTTTTGCATTTGGTGGACCTTCTCCTATTTTCCTTACTTTTTAGGAGGCCTTGTTGTAAAATTTTAAATTTTAAAAGTTTTGGGTATTATTTGAGAATTTCTGGAGCTTTAAGGGGTTTGTCCGGAAAAGATTTGGGATTTAGTGGGGGGGAAAAGTTCAGTGGTCTTTGACTCTTTGTGGCAAACGGAATATGAAATCCTGCTTTACTGTATGGTGTGATATATGAGATATTAATTTGATCTGGAGGTGTTGAAATCCAGAGGGTGGATGTCCTTCCTTAGTCTGAATTTGCAAAGAGCAATATGAAATAAGGGAGGTGTTGAAATCCAGAGGGTGGATGTCCTTCCTTAGTCTGAATTTGCAAAGAGCAATATGAAATAAGATTTTGGGTCAATGTGGGCGAGCTCTTGTCCTTCCTTAGTCTGAATTTGCAAAGAGCAATATGAAATAAGATTTTGGGTCAATGTGGGCGAGCTCTCGTGTTTCCCCCCTCTCTAATAGAAGCAATTAATGCGTTATATGTTTAATGGCTTTATTTGTTGTTGCTATCTGATTCATATGAATTGAACAGAATGACATAATTTTTAATGGAAGATATCCAATCCACAGACCATTATTAATAAAGTTTGGGGAATTTGCATGCATGGCGCACATGGTCCGGTGATTGGAAAATCTAAGTGAAGTTTTGGAAGGCTTGCACACCTTAAACGGTGATGCATTGTTTACATATATAGAGTTTGATTGAGTACAGTTACAGATCATATTCTTTAGGAATACAATTCTAGTTTGTTAGTAGTTGTTACAGAAGAATTCAAAATTACAAACAATTCTATAGGAGGAAGTTTAGATACTGTGATACTGCTAGTAGGTTCTTGTAGGTAGATTAGGTTGTTGTAGACAGATTAGACTTAGTCGTTAGACTTAGTCTTGACACTCCCCTGCAAGTTGAACGGCCAAGCTTGGATGGACAACTTGTTCCTTAAGTCCTGAAATCTTTGACTACTGAGACCCTTTGTGAAGATGTCCGCTAGCTGATCCTTGGTAGATATAAAACGAACACTGAGTTGTTCGGAAGCAACACGCTCACGGACAAAATGGTAATCAATTTCGATATGCTTTGTGCGAGCATGGAAGATTGGATTTACCGTGAGATACGTAGCCCCTAAGTTATCACACCAAAGAGTGGGTGGAGGCATTTTTGAGTAACCAAGCTCTTTTAGTAGAGATTGAATCCACATAACTTCAGCAGTTGCAATTGCGACGCCCCTGTATTCAGCTTCAGTGCTAGATCGGGAAACTGTCTTTTTCTTTCGTGCACTCCATGAGATGAGATTGCCACCAAAGAAAATACAATAACCACTTGTAGATCT